CAATGTCTGCACAACACTGGCTGCCAAAATTCACTGAAATGGCCTATTCCCCTGTGACATGACATCGAGTCTATCTAATACTTTCTTCATAGCCACAGAAACAGAAAACAAATCTCTCCAACAGCTCAGTTTGTAACAAGAGGATATCTGTGAACCGTCACATCGCCAGTCTCCAATCGCAGTCCTTCCCGCCTCAAACAGCACAGTGTCACTTACCAACTGAAATCCCAGAATATTACAGCACCAATAAGCAGATCATTCGCCCATCAAACCACGACTCACTGTGTAGGTTTAACATGAGAAGAAATCCATTTGAAGCTTTTCCTTTAATCTTCGCTCCAGACACAGCATTGACACCATGACTGTCAGGCAGTTTAGGGTGGGAGGGGCCGCCTTTCCTCCCCTTGTGTATTTGTAGGAGTTCAGCCCCGTTTCCTCTCACTGTGACCCTCTCGCACAGTAATAGATGGCGGTGTCGTCCACTCTCGGGCTTTTGATGATCAAATCGAAGATGTTATTGGAATTCTCTTTGATGACAGTGACACGGTCTTCAATCCCAGGCGCGAAAGCATTGTAGGAACTAGTTGGGCTGTAATAATGGAGGAGCCATTCCAGCCCCTTCCCGGGAACCTGCCGGACCCAGCTCATGCTGTAGCTGCCGAGATTAAACCCACTGGTTTTACAGGTCAGTCTCAGGGGATGGCCAGGTTTCCCGGTTAGAGACGGCGGCTGTGTCAGCACCACCTCGGCCTGGACACCTGTAAAGAATAAATGACCGAAGATTAATGACTGTGAAACCTCCCGTCTCTGTGACATTGCAGAGAGAATAAGACCGACACAGGAAGAGTGAGACTGTCAGAATAATAGCACTCACGGGAGAAGACAGCCAGCAGCAGACTGAGAGAAATCAGGGACCTCATGTTTCTGGGCACTTGTCAGAACTGAGACTGGAGCCGAATAACCGAGGGCCAAAGAGCTGCCGGACAGATGGCCTCAGTCCCCAGTGACCGCTATATAACGGGGCAGTGGGGCAGGGGGTGGAGAACCCACCAATAGCTGCAGGACTGAGGGGAGTCACGTGTCACATTCCCTCTGACCTGCACACAGCAATAACTGTACCTTTACATTCTGCCTTTACAGCAAATTAATATTAATATAAGTCTCAATAGTATTAGCCCTCGCGCTGACCCTGAAGCATCGCAAATTCCTTCCTTCAATGTTTCTGAGTGTGTGTGTGTTTGCAGTGTGTGTGGAGGAGGCGGGAAATTCAAAACAAATCTGCGTTCACACTTATTTCAGTGAGCGACTGTAAAGGGGGGAGAGATGATGAAGCTGAAAGTATCGATTCTTGTAAAAAAATTAATAAGTTAGGTTACTTTTTGGAAATAATATTGTGCAATACAACATATTGTTTAGACACGACATGACCATGCGACTGCCAGGGTGGTGGAAGGCGAACCAGGTGGACCTTGGTTTCTTTTCGTCCTGCAATTCTGATGTTCTTACTTTCATATATTTATAATTATTATTATAATAATCCTTGCATTTGACATAACAACTTATCATGTCATTGAAACATCTCAAGCCACTTTACAGAATACATTATAATGTGTAGTAACCGTGTATTTTTGGGGTCAAAAAATAATATTGTGCCTTAGTTAAAACATTCATTATTTTCTATGGTTTTGCAATGTTCTGATCTAATGTAAATAATTGTCCCGATTCTTGTCTTCCAATCCTGATTCCATGTCCCACGTGGGCATCAAGATAGAATAGTAATAATCCTTGTATTTGATAGAGCACCTGTTCACATCTTCAAGACGTCTCAAAACATTTCACAGAATATATGGCTCATGATTTCAAACCAGGCATGAAATGTCCTCTTACGGTGAGAAGCCAGAGAGCGAGTGCTGCTGGTGGAATGGGAGCCCAGTGTAATGTCAGAGCAATCACACTCTTTCAGGACAAGAGGTGAAGAAAACTGGAAAGAAATAAAACAAAGCTTCGATCAGAAATGGTTTCAGTGCCACTTTGCCACAGCTCCAGTATCGCGGCAGCTTTCAGTAACTGCGAGGGAGAGTGTAACAGGGATTCTCATCAGACACCGTGTGTTGTGCTCCCGGACTCTGCTGATGCTCCAATTATCTCCGGGATTATTGCTGGTAAAACAACTAAACATCCTTTACCTTATACAATTACTGTCATAGGATATTCCAAGCCGCCTGACCCGGGAGAGTGGACTTGGATTAATGTCTGGGAATATCAGTCAGTGTTGTGATCTCAGAGTCCCAACATGAACACACCACCTGGTCTGGGAGTAAATCTCTGTGTTTGTGCTTTGTTGTTTGAGGAGTTTGCACCTTTCTGGTGTGTAATTCTCTGTGGCCCATTGCACAGTCACACAAGTAACGTTGATCAGTAGGAAAGTCCCAGCATTAGATCTGATCAAAGCGCACAGGCTGTAGGGTATAACATTCACTGACTCCGATATTCTGATCAATACAATCAGAAACCAACAGATAATTCCCAGTGAAAAGCTTCTGTTTGACATTGAAATCCTGAACTGAAACAATCGGCTCAGTGAGACGTGAGGAGCCACTGATTCCTGAATTCTCCTTTGGGCACTGGATCTGGAACCTGTACAAGGTCTACAAGTGCTGCGATCTTACAGCAAACCTGTCAGAGCACAACATAAATCTCAAACATCGGGAAATAATCATTGTAACGGCTGAAAAACAGCAGAACACAGAACAGCTCCGTTTGTGGCCACTTCACAAAATACTTTGGCTTTGATAGAATGTGAAGTAAAATATAATAAAGTTATCTTTTTAAAATCAATTTATCAATGATTGTTATTCCAGACACATTTTCATGAAAAGAACAAGGTGTTTATTTGCTGAATTTGAGGACAATCTTGGTGATCAGTCTCTCGGTGATGTGTAGGGAAGAAGTGCCATATTTGACATATTTTGAAAACGGCCAAATAAGGTAATCAGTATACTCAGTATATAATAGTGTTTCCTGTTACATTTAGGGAAAGGCCAAGGCCGCTGGAGCCGCAATGGCTTCTGTGGCAATTCTCTCTCAGTCCATTTCTCAGCTTTGTCTCCATGTACCTTCATGTCCTGACTTATTAAATATCAGTTCTTCCCTCTTCCCAACGGCCCAAATAACTGTGTCTATGGCCTCATTAGGCTGTTCATTCCTCATGTTCACACAGTCTCAATGTGAAAACCGCACCAAGTGTTGGAGTACCTGAACAGTGGACAGTTAATATTGTGCAGTGCATCGCTGGTGTAATGTGGCACAGATATACAGCCTAATCACCCAGAGAATAATATGCAGTGCCTCTTACACTCAGCTTGTGATATCACTTCTTATTGCCCGGTTGCCTTTGTCAACACATTTTCTGCATCGTTTGTAGTATTCTTACATACACAATAATTAAGAGGCGCTGACTTTACTCAGCAAACAATAGAAATGATGGAGAGTTCTCTGTCTTTATATTTCTATATTGTTTGGGGTTTATTTTTGTTATTTGCTATTCAAGACTTCGAGTTTACAGGAAACGATTGTATGTGGATGTGATGGAATAGTTCATGTTGCAGAACAGCTCATGAGCAAAATGCTAAACAAGTTACTGCTTTTTATATCTAAAGTCTTCTTTCTTGAAAGACGCTTCACACAGAATGATTCACGTCGCCTTCAAGGGGGGTAGAAACTCAGAGCACAACTGTCAGGAAGCAGCTGTGATTGTGTGCAGTCAGTCAGTGAGCAGCTTCCTGCTCTCACACCGTGGGGCCCACAGCCGGACCTTTCATACATTATTCCCCTTCACACCAACAGCAACAACAGCTGTTGGGTCACCTCAAGTGGCTGTGATTGGTAAATCAGAGATGGCAGAATATAGTATATTAATACATAAAATTTGTTTTATTTGGCAGTTTCTTTCATATCTGGAGAACATTTCTAAACACTTTGGATACTTTGCTTCGAATTCTAGTGAAGTCTGCGTCAAGTAACTTCTTTCAAGCACTTACCTCAGTTCCTTCTGCGATTAATCCTTGCATTTGATGTAGCGCTTTTCACGTCGGGAGGACGTCCCAAAGCGCTTCACAAAACACACTGTAAAGTGAATTGACTGTATATTTGTGGGTGAACGCGGCAGCCAATTGCGCACAGCAATGTCCCACAAACAGTCGTAGATTGAAAATGACCAATTTATTATTATTTTTGGTTTGGAGGGATTATTATTAGGCTCTGTGTGGAGTAAGGAAACTTGCCCAAGGTTTCGCCCTCTGCCTGGAATTGAACTCAGGTCTCTCACTTGCAAAGCGAGTGGTCTAACCACTGAGCTACAGGACTCCACGATTTCCTTCATCCACAGTGACCGGCTGCTCCATTTGCTCAGTGACAATTGCGTGTTTCACATCCCACTGCTCTATCTGCCCCACCATTACCATTAAACTCTTTGGAACTCACAGGCCTTTCATGGCTTGTTTTCTACCTCATTGAATAACGAGCTGTACCCGTTGCAGCTTCACTTGCAACCAAACGATCCAATATGGAATGTAGATTCACCCACAGACAGACATTTCATCTTTATTACTTTTTGTGGGAGGACTCCAGTGGGAGGACACCATTTGGGAGGACTCAGTGTTATAAAAATGTAATGTTGTTGCTGTCACCGCAACTTAGCTTCGTCTGTGTTCTTTATTTTGTTCCTGCCGCTTGCCTATGCTAAGAATGCCACAGCGCCACGGTGTGGCCACCAGGTGTAACTGCAGTGTGTCCGTAATGCACAGTCCCACGGCGCCACTTTGACTCGGTGACCACGAGGTGTAACTAGAGCAATCACACAAAACTGTAAATAAATCATGAATGATAAGAGATACACAAAAACAAATCTGCCCATGTCACTCCCAGGGGCAATAACTTTCTGGTACGGTATAAATCATGAATCTATGTCAATCAGTTATTATAATCTTTGCATTTGATATAGCGCTTTTCACATTTTCTATACGTCTCAAAGCGCTCAGTAGATTATGCTGCAAAGTGAATTGACTAAATATTTGTGGGCGAAACGCAGCAGCCAATTCTGCACTTCAGTGTCCCACAAACAGTTGTGGATTGAAAATGACCAATTTATTATTGTTTTTGGAGGGATTATTATGATTAGGCGTGTTTATTATAGTCATGACAATTTCACCCCTTTTAGCAGGCTGGAGCAGAAACCATCTCTGTCTTCTTGTTGGAAAGATGTCCCAGTGCGCTGGATAATCAGGATTAATAATAATCCTTGCATTTGATATAGCGGTTTTGGACTCGAGCTTCACAGAACATACTGTAAAGTGAATTGACTGTATATTTGTGGGCAAATGCGGGAATTGGGGTCAAAAGGGAAGGAGGGCAGTGGGTGTGGCCTTGGAAGAGTGGTCAAAGGAATGATCGAAGAGGAAGGTCTTCAGACGTGTCTTGAAGGAGGCAAAAGAGGGGGTGTGTTTGAGGGAATGCGGGATAGAGTTCCAGACTGTGGGGCAGAGATGCTGAATGCCCAGTCACCAATGGTGAAGCAGGAATAAGGGGGACCTGAAGCAAACTGGTGTCCGCCGAGCGGAGGGAGCTACAGCCTGATATGGGGTTATGATGTTGGAGAGGTAGGGGGGGAGGAAGACCGTGGACAACCTTGAAGGTGAGAACTTGGGTTTTGTACTTGGTTGTCCAAGAACGGGGATTCAGTGAATCCGGGCAACAATGGGTGTGATAAGTTCCCGGAGCCTGGAGCGGGAGAGAATAAGTTGCATTATTCCGGATAACCTGCATCTTGTGGAAGAAAGAGTTGGGAAGTCCAGAGAGCAGGCAGTTGGCGTAGTCAAACAGGTGCTCAATGAGATGACTCCATTCCCCCAGTAACTGGTCTGTCCTTCCAGGTCCGGCCGATGAGCTGTGCTGTGCTGTGAAAAGGGAATTGGATATACAGACATGAAAAGGAAAATTCTGCACTGCTATGGGG